AAAACATGAGTCCCCCCCCCCCCCCCCACGCGCAGGTGTACCTCGCGGCGGTGAGAAACTTCTCGCACAGGGGTCTGGAGGGGGGGGATCGCCTCCTGTCCATCACCACCCGCGACGGGCGCTTCGTGCACTTCCGCATGCCGGCGGCCGCGTCCGCCGCTCGGTGCGGGACGTGGTTCGACACGGAAGGTCCTCAGCAGCAACGGCGGCGGTGGCGGGTAGGGGGGGGCGCGCAGAGCAGCAGCGGAAGGGAGGAGCTCTGGAAGAGGGGGCTGTGGGGGGCGGGGACCAGCGAGCTGTGGATGGAGCGCTTGGTGGACGAGGTGTGGTTGTTGTTGCTACGCTACGACTGCTGTGACGCCGGTGTGGTGTATGACGATGGTATTTGCATGTGTTTTGGTTTTGATTTATGCTGGCGGCGGAATGCTCAAGCCGGGGGGGGGGGGGGGGGGGNGGGGGGGGGGGGGGGGGTCACGAGTGCTGATTGTGGCAAGTTAGTTGTACGCCGGACGTGTTCGCTTTTAAACCGTCGTAGGTGAGGTCATACAACACCGCTTATTTTACCGCACCAACCCATCTCCCGTCCTCGTCTGCTGCTTACCCCTCACCGCGCTGCGCTCTCTTTTCGCAAAAAAAACGAAGATCCGGTGGAGGAAAGCGTCCGGCGACTTCGTTGCCCTGTGGCACAAGCTCAGCGAGACCGCGGCCAACCCCCGGGCGACGGCGATGACCACGATTGCCGTCCCTTCTTCCTCCTCCTCCTCCAGCGCTCAGCCCCCTTCTTCTTCGCAAGCTCATCACGCAGCAGCGTCGGCCAGCAACAACGCCGCGGCGGCGGCAAGGCTAACCGCGATCCGCGCCGCCGCCGCAGCCGCGGACGCGAGGGGGGACCTGGCGGACGGGCGCGGGGCGCTGGAGCGGGACTTGGAGAGGATGGGCGTGCCCAAGGCTGGGGGAGGGGGAGGGGCGAGCTACGCCGCGTTCGGGAGGCAGATGTGGGAGTTCAAGCCCGTCAACAAGGACTACGCGCTGTCGCCCACGTACCCGCAGGTGCGTGACAAGACACGCGTGTGTGCGTTTTTTTGTGAAAAAGCATCGACCTCGCCAACTGGCTGATGACCAATGAAGAGACAAGTCAGTTCCCGTGTGTGTTTTTTTGCATCGGCCCACTGTGTGTTTGCGTGTGTGCCATTTGTTGTTGTCATCAGCCGCGGCTGGCCAATGAGCAGACGCCAGCAGGATGAAACGGCGCACGATGATGTGTGTGCCAGCGTCGGGACGCAACACAGGTTAGGGTTGTAGCCTTCGTTATCTCTGCCTACCTTCCCATCTCCCATGAGATCAACTCCTGTGAGCATTTGTATCAAACCATCACATGTGGCCAGTATCGTCCACGACTTGCCAACATCTTTCCCAACCTTCCTTCTCTTTGGTGGTGATCTCCTCTAGCTTACTAAAACAAAAACTGTTTTGTGTTCGTACGGCAACAAAGCCGTTGCACACAGTACTCACACTCCTCCTTCGAGACAGAGGCCTCCTGGGTATCGAAACCCATGGGATGACGTGCCCGCCCACCCCCAGCTGAGACTGTTTGGCTTTCGCCTTCGCTCGGTGCGGCATGGGCATGACCCCCGCTCCTCCCGAAAGGGCGGAAACGACGGGACGCAACAGGCAGCGGAAAGTACAGTACGCGATTTTCGGGGATGGTCATCAAACTGTTGCAACCAGCAACTGTATCTACCACCGGCACACTCTACAATAAAACTGGTGTACTTTTCACACTTGGCAAGCTACAACATGAACACACACACACAAACACGTCCGAATGCTGCGCCTTTTTTTCCGCGCCAGGCACTTGCGTTCCCGTCGTCCATCACGCCCGCGCAGCTCTCGGCGGCGGCACCGCAGCGGAGCCGAAGCCGGGTGCCGGCGCTGGTGTGGCTGCACCCCGCCTCGAAGGCTCCCCTCTGCCGCTCCAGCCAGCCCATGGCCGGGATGAGCACCAAGGTAAGGTGCTTGAAGACACCTTGGGAAGTGTGTTCTTTGTGAAGTGAAAGTTGAGGGGGTACATCACAGTGGTGCGTCGAATGGATATGTTGCAGGCGAAGGGCAGCTGGAGTGGTAGAGGCGTGACAGCGGTTGCGTCGAAGTGGGTGTGCACAGCAGGTGGGCAAATATGAGGTAGGTGGAGTTGTGTGTAAGAGGTGTACAGCGGTTTCATCGAAGTGGGTAGCGGATGGCGAGTGTCGCGCGCCTTTGTTGCGGCGCTGCGTTGATTGCATGGGCAACATATGCCGGCTCTGCGAGCTGAAGAAAGTCTAGGGAGCGGGGTGGTTGGGGTGTACTCTGAGTTACGATAGCTCTGCTTTATCCGTGTCGTGTGTTAGTCGATAGTTACAATTCTTCTGTTTTGGCCCATGGTTGTCTTATGTTTTAACGGTGGAAGTATTTTTTTCTTTTTATTTGTTCCGAGTTCAACAGTGTCGTGATCTCTTGCCCGAACGCTCGGGTATGATGGGTCTTCTCTTCTTGTGCATTCTAGTCTACACGGCAACCTGACGGAAATGACGCGCGTGCCCCTATCGCAGGTGCTGAGTGAGGACATCCACCTCCTCAAGCAGATCCGGGTGACGCTCGACGCTTCGAAGCTCAGCATCGTGGACGCGAGATCGCTGCTGAACGCTAGGGCAAACCAGGTATGGCGGTGTGGGCTTGTCGCTGCACACAGGAAATGCGTATGGCAATACCAAACCAACAACTTGCGAAGGGGTATGTGGGAAGACGTGAACCCTTCTTCGCGTGAAAGGTGAAATTGATGCGCCAGGCATGACCTTGTTCCACGTTGTCTTGTCTTTGGCGCTGGCATCCATGCACTTGAACGTAAGAAGCCGGGAGAGAATATGAAGACGTAACTGACACCTTGTGGAAAGAAAGGTCTGGAGAAAAGCAGCAGTAAACAGATGTACTGCTGTAGAATATTGCAAGCCTTGTCTTTTGCTGACCGGGTCCGTTTTTCTACTTTTTTTGTTTCTGCACGTATGTTGTGATGCATTATTGTGTCGTGAAATAATCAAATGAAGGTCACCGGCAAGGGGTACGAGGACGTGAACGACATCGGACGCGACGTGTGCACGCTGGGCTTCATGGGCATCGAGAACATCCACGCCGTCCGCGACAGCCTCGCCGCCCTCTGCGCCGCGTCTCAGGCGCAGGGTCAGGAGTATTTCCACGCGGTCGGAGCCAGCGGCTGGCTGCGGCACCTCTCTCAGGTACGGGCAAACAGCACGGCAGCAGCCAGTAGCCTTCGCAACGTTTTTTGTATAATTAGGTAAACATGTTGGATAAAGCATGCAATCGGGGAAGTTGGGTTGGGGATAGGATCTGCGTACCCCCCCTGTTATTTTTTCTCATAGAATTGTATTTCTCGCGAACGCGGTCCGCAGCAGTGCGTTGTTGCCGGCGACTATTTAGATGTTTTATCACTTGTTTGGGCGAATACGTGTGGCTTAGTTGCTCCCTGTCCGTCACCTCTCTCAGGCAAGAGCTGCAAGCGGCGCGTTGTTGCTTACGATGGATGGTCTGAATATGGCCTCGTCATCCCTGTCCGTTGAGCGTCTGAGTAACAACAGCAGCAGTGCTTTTTGAAGTGGCTGCGTCACAGTGCCCAGGATTTTGCTTGCTTTCATGATGCGTGATGACGCCCGTCGATGTTTGTGTGTAGCGACACGTCTGTTGGGCATTCACGTTTGCTCTCTTTTACTGTGGTGGGCACTTGTTACTCTACCTGCTGCAGGGTGGCTTGAGAGGTTGGTTAGGATCAGGCCTGCACTCTGTTGCTGTTCCGCAGATAAAAGTTCCACACGCTTCCTGTTGGTTGCTGTGGCTACTGGGGATGAAGATATCAAACATCTACGTGCCTGACCCGCCCACCCTGCTGTCTACCCTGTCGGCGTGGTGGCTTATTCCTCTCACCGCCGCAGATCATGAAGGGCGCGGCGTTTGTTGTCGACGAGCTGCAGAGAGGCATTGCTGTCCTTGTCCACTGCTCGGACGGGTGGGACCGCACGGCGCAGCTCACGGCCTTTGCACAGGTGTGATGCGTGTGTGTGGTGAATGCATCCGATCGGCAGTCCGTCGGAGGCTTCCGTATGGAGGCGTTATACGAAGAATTAGACGCGTCTGGTTGCCCCTCCGGGGGGGGGGGNGGGGGGGGGGGGGGGGGGGGGGGGGGGGGGGGGCGTGAGGTTTATTGGCGTTTTCGCCCGCAGTTTCCGTTGATCTGCATGTGATGCCAGGAGCGTATGTATCGAAACGTGTTGGTCCGCGTGTGATGCACACATGCTGGAGATGATTTATTAGTTGTCATGCGCAAAAAAAAAAAAAACATGCTACGATTGTGGGTGACACTTTTGTTCTTCCGTGTGTTTGTTTCGACCGGTGTACGTGTGAGCCCTCAAGCATGATGCAGGGTATGAGCACTACTTTCTATCCATACTTCTGCCTTCGTTTTGCTCAACTGCGACATTTGCTGATGCCGCTGCTTCGTTTTCTTGGTGCCTTCGTGTCCCTTTTTTCCGGCCGCTGCCACAACAACAGCTGTGCATGGACCCGTACTACCGCACCCTGGAGGGTTTCGAAGTCCTGGTGGAGAAGGAGTGGTGCTCTTTCGGGCACATGTTCGGCCTCCGCGCTCACTCGGACTCTCCGACGGAGTCGTCGCCGGTGTTCCTGCAGTGGCTAGACGCTGTGTGGCAGGTAGGGGCTCGTGGGCTTGGGGGGGGGGGGGGGGGGG